ACTGAGCCACCCAGGCACCCTGGATTTTTTTTTTTTTTTGTAGATTTCCTTAAAGATTACAAAGCCAGTTTCTTAAGTAATAGTTGTACAGTTTACTCAGTTTCAAAAAGTCTTAGCATTAAAAATCAGAAGCAAAAGTTTTAAGTAGTAATGGTAAATGCTCTTCTGTTTAACTGAATTACTAAACAACATAATAAAGGTAATGTTGAAGAGGTACTTAATATTCAAGCTTTTCATGATAGAGCTAATTCTTTTTTTCTAATTTTATGTTTGTCTGTCTTGTGATGCACATGAAAAAATTAATCCTAGTTTAGATTTATATCACATTATGATGTGTGACAGAATAGAGAAACATGTTGCAGTTTATAAATCGTTAGTTTTCAGATAGTTTTTGAGGGTGATAAAAATAATTTTCCAGAATAAACAGAAATTAGTGATATTACTCAGAAACAATGTAAAGAGTTCCCTAAGATAAAAGTTAAATTCAGTGAGCATTAAGACATTTACTTTTTTTTAGCTCGTTTTAAAGATAGCTGTCTCTATTTGCATAAAAGTATGGAGGACAGTTCAGAAAACAATGACATTTTTGCTTTCTTTCAAAGTTAAGGATTTCTTCTGTTCTCTTAAATATTTTACACAAATTATCTAGATTTGTGTAAAAGGATTCTAGATTCCCTAAAGATTGACAACTTGTAATTCTACTTATAAAAAATTTAATTATTATAAGTAAATTGTTATTAAATATGTGGTTAAAAAATTAATATTGATTATGAGCAAACCATGTTGCAGAGAATATATTTTTGTGTGCTAACTACCAAACTGTTTTTGGGACCACTAAAGAATATTAAAGAATCAGGGTCTACACTCCATTTTTGGTAAATTTTTTCTCCCTAATCCTTCACGGCTTTAACATTTCAGGTAATTACATATCTTTATCCTTGACTTCAAGTAATGTAGTTTAGGAAAAGACAATAAAAATTTGTTAAAAATCTCCTATGTGCCAGATGCTAATACTAAAATTTAAAACAAAACTAAGTCTCTTTATTTGAGGGAGACCCTCAAAAATAACTAAGTGCTGTATATTAAATATAAATAAATGCTTGTAAGAGTTCTATAGGAGGTATAATGGGAGCAGGAAAGATAAGAGTGCATAGACAAATTGCTAATTTAGATTATATAGTGACAAATGGAGGAAATCAGAGGGAGTTCTGTGAGTACTAGAATAATCAGGAAAGATTTGAATGTGCTGGGGGAGAAGGAATTTGGAAAGAATTGTATGGAGTTTGAGGTGGCCAGTGGAAAAGGTAAAGAATTTGCTATTTTCTGCTTGAGAGAATCAGTTTCATGCAGAACTTTGAAACTTAGCATAGGGTCAGAAAATCAGGAAGAATGGTTTAAATAGGCATTAGGGAGTCATTAAAATCTTCTGAGCAGGCTTTTCACATGAGAGTAATACTCAAGAAACATTGCCTGAAAATAAGCATAATAGATAGGTGTAAAAAGGCCCTGTAGTTTAAGTTTCTGTAATCAGGCATTTTAATCTAATTTAGCCTATTCAAATTTCAGCTCAAGGCATGATCTCAGGGTCATGAGGTCGAGCCCCCTGTCAGGCTCCTCACTCAGTGAGTAGTCTGCTGGAGATTCTCTTTCTCTGTCCCTCCCCCAGGATTGCAAGCGTATATGTACACATGTGCACATTCTCTCTCTCTCTCTCAAATTTCAGAGTATTTAAATCATAGATTGAATGAAACATTAAAAAGATC